GCCCCCCGTGCGCTCGGGGGGGCCCGCCACCCCCGCCCCTCAGGCCCGCCTGTCCCGCAGATGCCCCGCGCTGGCCCCGCGGCTGCCGACCCCCGGTGCGCTCCGCTCCTTTCCGCCCCTTCGCGACGTGGCCTCCACCTCCCAGTCACACCTGAGCAGCCCGTCCCGCCCGCCTGCAGGTAGAGGCCACACGGGCGCCTCCTGGCTGCCCCAGGGGGCACCCCTTCCCTCGTCGTCTGGCCTGGCCCCTGTCTCCCCAGCTCCGTGGAGTCTTCCCTCCCCGTCACCGAGTGTTTTCCGGCTCCCGGGAGGTGCGCCTCCGGCTTGGGCTCTTCACCCCTCTGCCACCTCATTCCAGTTTCTGCTCCATTAGATCATCTGTCCCTTCTCCCTTGCCTGCCGCCCCCCCGCTCGGGTTCAGGTGTGTAAGCGGGTCCTGGAGCCCCGACACGGCCCGCTCGCCTCCCTCCCCATCCCCCCTTTGTGCCCTGACCCCGGGCACCGCGGCCTCTTCGCGCACCGAGGCCCCTGCGGGGGCGCGGGGACCGGGCAGGAGAGGAGATTGGGCACCTGGTGGGTGACGGGAGCGCTATGGAAACTCCCTCTTTGTTGCCAGTGTAACAGGAGGAAGAGGTGCCGAATTTAGTTGTTCTGTGGGCACTGGCTGGATGTTGTCGCCGAGGGCTGAGATGCGGAGATTTCTCCTCGCTTCTACCCTGCCCCCATTCAAATCTCGCCAACCTTCCCCTCTCGCTTGCGGATCCGAGCCCTTAACCTGGATGGAGATGTTGAGACAACTGTATAAGGATCAAATGTAATAGGACTTGACTGCTGGCCACTAATAAGTGAGAGGACCTGTTTGTAAATTACCCAATTTAGTGGATTAGCGAGTGTATTTACAAATACGATAAAAAGCAATCAGGAATACTGCATCAAACTGCCTGGTGGTGGTGTATGAAAAATAGGCTCTGACAACGCCTGGGATGTAATCTCACAGTTTCATTAGGGTAGAATTTAACTGTGGTCTTTGATTTGTTTGCTTGGGGGCGGGGGAGGGGGGGGACGGAAAGACAAGGGCTCTTGTTTTTAGAAATAAAGGCTGGTGGGTTCTTGGGGAAGAAAGATGCTAGTTTGGGGCGGGGGTGTGAGGGGGTGAAATTCCTCCAGAGATCTTAGCATCTGTGATAATACCAGAAGTGTTTTGCTGCTGCTAAATGACTATATATAACTCAGTTTTAAATAACCTGCATACTTGTTCTGAAAATCTGAGATCTGTTAGAAAAATGACTAGAATTGCAGATGAATGGAGGACGTTTATGTTTTAAGTATCCATCCTATCTGTCCAGTTCTTTTTCTGAGTGTGCTTTTTTTCCCTACTAGGATTATAGTCAGGCTGATTGGTTTAGTTAAGCCTTTCTATTTAAGTTAGAATAGCAAAGAAAAACTATATGTGGTGGTGTTGTGAAGGAGAGGTTGATAGATCAGGGTTTTCATAATAGCAAATAAAGATGTAGAATTACCCAGTACCTTTCAACTAGTTGGGGATTTGGGGGTGGAGGGGCGATCAAGTTGAGTGCTATTCACCTAATATTTACTTGAATATCATTTTCATCCCAAAGGTATCTTTTATATCGCCTTTCTTTTTAAGAACTGGATAACTTTACATCCTCTTTTGGTGGTGAAATGCTTTTAAGACAGGAAAGTATTGATAGTTGATGGATGGTTTGTTCAGTGCAGGCACAATTAAATTTGGGCAGAATGATGCTGTGCCAAAACTCTGCTGTAATAACAGGTAGTAAGTGTTGGCCTTTCTCTAGCTCCCTATCATACTTTTCAGAATGCTGTCACATACATTTTCTTTGCTTTTTCCTCCTCTTGGAGCCACTGTTTCCTTCATGCCGTGTTCTACAGACAAGATGTATGTCATGCACCCCAAGGGGTGCGTTTTTTTCTCTGAATTCCTATAACCAATCAGCAGCTGTCACATGCCTTTTAGTTCAGCTTTAGGGACTTGTAGTGCTCACTGGAGCATTGAGGAGCAGATTTTGTGCCGAAGAGCTCATCATTTTTTTCCCCTTATTTGAGATTTTGGCATCATTCTTCATTTGCGAAATGTTACCAATCTGCTGACATTTTACTATTCCTTTGAGGAGCATCACCAGCTTTAAAATAATACTGTATCTATATGTATTGTGTTGAAACAAAATAGGGATGCAAGACCAAATCTTCTTCAGTCGAGAACCTCCATATCACGCTGAGCCTCTCCTAGTGGCCTCAGCTATATTTTCAGACAGAATGTTTGTTTCATCCCTTTTACTGGATTGTAAGCTTCTTGAGTATAGGAACTACTTTGGTTTTCCTCATCTTTGTATCCACTGCAGTATACTTTGTATGTAATAGCTGCTCAGCAATAGTCAATGAACAGATTATATACACAGATTTGAACACCTGGCTCCCAAGTAACATAGTAACATTGTATATGAATCCACCCCTGACCCAGGCGCTGTTTCACTTCCACAGGCTGGTTGACTAGTTCTACCAAGGCATCCTCTTCTAAACTCAGATTTGAACTCTGCAAGCTAAAACTCACCCACCTTGCCCACATTTCTTCCTATTGTGGCAGTGGTACTGTCAGTTTGCAAAATGGAGCAGGTTTTCCCTTTTCTTCTGAGCGCTTTGCTCAATGCACAAATTTCAGTGAGAGCAGTGGTTATAACATCTTAAAAAAGCTTATCTGCAAATTCTAATGATAACCTTCGCGCCACATCAAAACCATGTGCTTTGAGGTATTCTGCATTTCAGCTTAGCTTTTCTCCGGTTTGTCAGCAACTTTAAAGCCCTGGCAGGTTTTAGCAATGTAAATATAGTGTGTTTTCTTTTTCTAGTAGGGATTTACTTTTGAAATAGAATTTATTTTACTTCATTGTCTCTTGCTATGTTGTAGACTCTCTTAAGAGTTTATGGTCTTCTAAAGTGTTTCATCTCTGGTAGTCTGTCTTGGTATTGTTTTCATTTCCTTGGCAGTATCTGGGTATCGTAGTTTGCCACCAAAATAATTATCCTGTTTTAGGATTTAGATAAAAGAAAGTGTCACATTCTATACTAACTTATATGTCATTGCTGAAGGAGCAAATTATTGGCAAAATAATTTGTCCTGTATCAGACACGTACATCTAAGAATGGTAAGCATGTCTCCTGAGCCAGGGCTCTTATAGAACTCCTAATTATGTTTCATTTTTTTTATTAGTGACCATTACGAGTTGTTTGTTAATATTAGTAATTGCTCCAAACAAGCCAACACATGATAGCCTTTGCCTGAAAATCTCTTTGAAGGGAACATAAAAGTGAGATAGTCTTCGTGAGTTCTTTTTTACACAGCACTAATCCTCCCTAAGACTCTTAAAATTTATTCCCAACTCTCCCTAATTCGTTTGTTCTGTTATAACCTGACATAATTTCTACTCTTATAATGTTAAACTTCAAAATCCCCTTGTAAATCTTCAGATTTATTAAATGTTCTTTCCCATTGACAAACCAGTTTGAGTGAAGGAGGCTTTTGAAAGATTCCTTAGCAAATTGCCCTAAGTCTTTGTTGGCAATGGCTGAAGCATTATTCCTCACAGTAGCGCTTTGGACGCCAGGAGATTTTCCAAGTGCTCTGAAGTTCCCTGGCCTTCAGTTTTAACCTTAGAAATTGTGGGAGGGATGGCAGACAGTCCTTCTGATTGAACAAACTTCTTTGTCTGATTTTCGGACACATTGTACTCGTCTGCTGTCTTGTCACATGGTTTTCAGGTTGAGAGTTATATATTTAACTGTGTTTTTCTAGCTCTCATATCTTGTCTTGGGAGTGATGAAAAACCATCAAGTGGCTCACAAATACTGGTTAACTTTTGAGTCTGTTCACTGTTCCTTAACAGAATTTTAATTATACAGTTGTCTCCATTTGCTTTGTGGCATTTCAAGTCACAGGATAAACATGAAATTTGAAGAGTGTAGTGGGAATTACCAACAGACTAGGTTGTTCCATTAAAATATGTCCAGCAAAGTGGATTTGCTGTAACTGAAACAAAAAAGTCATGGCATTAAGACAGTTTTGTTTTGTTTTCTTCTGAATACTAAACTGATAAGCAGAGAAGAGCAACTCCTTAAAAAATGTAAATCAAAGTTAGTGTTAACATTGGCTGGAAATAATGTAAAAATTGATTGCTATTTTTTCACAGCCATTTTCATGTTTTATTTCTACATTTTCATGTTTGAAGTTGATTTTACTTCCATATTGTAGCTGAGGAAATTGAGACTTAGAGGTTGGGAAACTTGGCTGAAGTCATAGAGCTACTGAAGGAACCAAACCTCACTCCGAGTCTTAGGAATCTGAGTCCTCTGCTGCTCTTTCTGTGCTCACGTGCATGCTTCCCAATCTTAAATTGCAACTCACTTTAAAAAGCCCCATTCAATAACATTTTGAATGAAGGAATTTCCAAGTTAAATTCATGCCACCATTTTGAACTTCCTGCAGTTTCTAGCTGGGGAGCAACATAGTATATATAATGTAGCAAAACTAATCCAGTTAGACTGTTTCCAGGCTTAACAAATACTGTCAAATACTCTTTGATGTGTTAATTCTATCATTAAAAATGTTATTGGCTGGGGAAGATAATTATAAAAATATAGTCTATATTTTGGTATTAATTGATTAATACTTGTTTTCTATTCCTGTCTGCCCCCCACCCCCAAGAAAGAAATATTTCAATTTTGTAACTTTGGCTCAGATTTTTGGGACCCTGGGGGATATTAAAGAAAAACTAGCCCTACTATCTCACTTTTCTGTTGAACTAAAATGGAATTTAGACATATGAAGTGGTCTGAGGCAGGGAGATAGATATCTTATGAGGTAGCTAGGACTAGAAACCTAATTAGTCTCTTAATCTCTTGATCTTTCTGTAGTACTGTTAATTCTTAATGTTTTAAGCCTCTTTATCTTTGTAACATTGGAAACACTTGAGAACTCTAAAAAACACTGATGCCAGGGTCCCATCCACTCCCAAAGATTCTGATTTCATTTGTTCAGGGGTGCTGCTTGGGCACCAACATTTGAAAAGTTCCCCTGTTGATTTTCATGGGTGGCAGAGGTTGAGAACGCAGTTCCATACCCTTTCAGTAGGTAATTTCATCTCCTTCTGTGGTTTCAATTACAGCCCACATGCCAAGGATTCCCAAACTGAATTACTGAATTGAAACAAACTGTCCTAGCCTCTGGTCCTTATACCCAACTGATTACTTAGCTCTTGCAGTAGAATATCTTGTAAGCAACTCGAACTTGGCATGTCTAAAACGGATCTCAAAATTTGTG